TATGTGAATTAGGCTTCTCAATCTTAAATAACATCAAAATATAAGAAGCGTAAAAGACTATGCTCAACTGAAGAATAAATGAGTGTCTGCTTATTGCACATTCGACCAAACAATGAAGAAATCGCGAAAAAAAAAACAAAAAAAAACAGGCACATGTTTCACGCTAAATAAGCTGCACAAAGAGGATCACCATCATCAGTCACATGACCGTGTGTGTTCGTAGGATCACGGTGGAGTTGAGCGCCTGGCCAGTATCCTCCACATATCCGGGTTCAAAGCAAGAGAGGTATTCCTTCATGCATAGTGTGACTTTGGCAGGCAGACCCCACCTCTCTCATAAATAATATGGTCACAATATATGTACGAAACGGTTTCAGTTTAAACAAGTGTTTCTCAACCATTTCACTAGTAGAATAACAAACTCTGAGACGCACTTAAAATTTTAATAAGGAAAAACTATTTATGAAATTTCAAAATAGGAAAATATGGTTCAGCATTTCCTAAGATTAGCGGCACAGTTTTCATTTAAAGAGATTTATGAAGAATCTATTATTTTTTAGAGAGGCTGATAATGACTGTTTTAAATCCATTGAAGACAAAAGAGAAAGGATTATCCACTCTTCTTAAAGATTAAGGAATTTAGCATCCAGCTTAAAATATCAAATGACAAAGACTTGACTTAGACATGATAGTCATGTGCTTTTGTATAACTAGCTTTTTAAAAATAAAGTTTTTTAATTATAAAAATAATTCATAATTTATTTTTTAACTTGGGGCATACTTTGTTATCTTTCAGGGTGCATTAGTGCCCCGGTTTCATAGCTTGACTACGAAGGAGTGGTACTAGAACCTGTGAAATCTTGCATGCATTAATTTCAACTCTATTATCAATAACTACATTGTTTTTTTCCGTGTATTTTGTTACATGTTATAAAATAATAACTTCAAATTCTCCGAGTATTTTAGGTTATAAATCCTAAATTTTCATTTTTTTTTTCTGCTATCTTTGTCAAAAATTTAACAAACTTTTTTTATATTTGTGCTTGTACGACTATTTTATAATTTGTCTTGCTTTCTGGTGTATTTGTTTACCTAACGTTTCATATATTTAAAAAAAAAAACGTTAATTTTGAGAGAGCTTTAAAAAAACACATAATGTATATAATGTTTATATACGTATATAAGATATGTTCTAAAAGTTGTCAGAGCTGGGGGTGATAGTGGGGACAAGTTCAAACTGCCTAAATAATGCTCATTTTCCGTGCGGATAACTGTTTCGCCACCAGCGAAGTGATACTTACTCTTCGGAAAACGGTTCCTACGGGAGGTAACTCTGCCTGAAAAAAGCAATAAACAAGATCGTCGTGAATAGATGTGAACGGGTAATGAAAATAAATAAAATATGGTGTTATAGTCTAGGAAGAAAAATTAGTACAGATTCCAGACAGCATGCTCTGAAGGTAAACAATTTTTACGTGTTCATTCTTTTAGGACCTGATTCCGATCGTATAAACCAATGTTCAACACGCGCCCGAAGGCGGTTGGCTGTAAACACTAAACAACTATCCGGCAGTTTCTGCAGTCAAACCGGCTCCAAATGTAAATGCCCTCTGTTTCCTCTGGATCTTGTCGGTACAGCCGAAAGAGGTGGAGGGTATGTAGTCTGGGCAGCGCACGGCCTCCATATACCATCGTTCAGGGTTATTCCCTGGAGAGGACACTCCAGACTCAACACGAAAGGCTTGAATTTTGACCAAACCGAGTGCTACATAAGGAGTGATAAATGGATCGTCAGGCCGCCCGATGATTGACTCCAATGTTCACTTTTATATATATATATATATATATATATATATATATATATATATATATATATATATATATATATATATATGGAGCCTTTTAAAACAGACAACAGAAACTAGAAAGTGTTTGTTTTACACACACACACACACACACACACACATATATATATATATATATATATATATATATATATATATATATATATATTACAAATATTTCTTGTTTTGTTTTTTGTTTTTTTTTTTTTTGTGGGTGCTTTGGCTTTTGTTAATTTTTTTTGAGCATGCTATCAGATTTGATGAGGTAAATTTATTTTATAGTCCCTCTTATACTAAAAATAATCCCATCGCATTTTCATTTTCGTCTTTCGTTCTGACCTGAAAAAGCCGAAACAAACGTTCGGCGAAATGCGTCGTTTATAGCTTTTCCATATCATTTACATTATATATATATATATATATATATATATATATATATATATATATAATATATAAATATTTGTGTTGTAGTGGTTCCAACGAGAGAAAAGTATGTATATTGAAGAGAAGAGGTGCCGCAAACGTTTTTGGTTGTAATGTGGATTTATTTAGAAAAAAAGCATTATTTTTTTCTAAATAAATTTACATAATTTAAACAAAAACGTTTGCGGCACCTTCTCTTTCTTCTTTTTTAATATATATATATATATATATATATATATATATATATATATATATATTTGTATTAGTTTTGAAATAATTGTTTCTAATTTTCCATGCGGCGTTAGTTTTGAAAATATCACATGCTTTAATATCAAATATAGTCAAGTTTTCCAGTGATATATATATGTGTGTGTGTGTGTGTGCGTGTGTGTATATAAGGTTCAATAAGGGTTAAAATGGAGAAAGAGTTTCTTTGTGTTCGTCTTGTAATTAATTTTTTCTGTCCTATTTAATATTCTTTTATATTTATTGTTAATCCTGTGTGCCTCAAACCCAATAATTTCTAAATTGTTTTAAAAGTGGGAATCGAAATTTTTATTGTCCTAAAGATAACGAAAAAGTGTCAAACTGAAGCTGATGGTTCGAGATTAAATATGGAGTTAGCCAAGCAACTAATATATTTGACTTCAGGGAAATATAGACCTCTGTTTTAGTTATTCTTAATTTAAGTATTTATTTAATAAATTTATTTTATTTATTTATTTGGTGGGTGGCCTAACAGACTAGCTCCTAGCAAACTAAAATGTTAATAAATGTTTTTACACTAATATTGTACTCGAGTCTAGTGCAAGTTCTTATGATCAGAATTTTGCGCTAAAAAGAGTGGCTTGATATTTAATTTTTTTTTTTTTTTTTTTTTTTTTGAAGATGAGAAAATCATGCATTTTCGATTACCGTTTGCATAAAACACAGGTCGATTTTTTCTGTAGGGGTTAAAAAATTCATGCATTTTCATGCATTAAATAAAAGTTTCTAGTTAAATCTACATATGTGTACGGAGTACATTTTACTTGACTTTACTTATGGGAAACCTTGAATTATGTACCGGAAATCCTGACAGAAAGGTTGCCATTGGGATGGCAATAGCTCAGCGGTGTAAACCCTTGCGAAACGAAGATGAATGCAAATTTGAGATAGGAAAAGCATTATTTCCTATTAATTCTTCATTTATGTAAGGTATTTTTTTTTTAATTTTAAGCGGCATGCTTAACGGATGAGATTTTGCTCTTCACGTAGAGACAAAAGTGATGAAAATTAGGTTACGTAAGATGCAAGTCCAGGGTAAAGAGCTACCGTAGTCAGGTATGAAGGAAAACAATAATACAGTATCTAAATCTTCGAATAAGATATTATACGGTAAGTGATTTTTCTCACCATTTTGGTTTGGTTTGGGTTTTTTTTGTTTTACGGCATATCAACCTCAATGTCTACAGGACTTTTAGGATAGATTCGTATGAATAGAATATGTATTCTTTGTAAAAAAAAATCAGTTTGTAGATCAGGTTTCATTGACGTATTTTTGTAAAGAATGTTTTTGTCAAGAGTATATTTCTGGTATTTTTTTTTCAAAATATATTGCTGGTAATATTATTTTTTTTCAAAAATATATTGCTGTATTACTATAAAAATCTATTTTTATAATTTCATAGGGTTTCGACCACAGTTTGGGGATTAATTATTTGACCACAGTTGGGACCTTAACAGGTGCTACAATCGCGGGTCAGTGAGGACATGGGAACAACAGCAATTAAGAGGTGGTTCCACCCTTCTCAAAATCTACCAATCAGAGGACTTGCTTCTAGATGTAGTTTACTGTCATACCGGGACGCTCACCATTTTGGGATAGATGTGTTCAAAAAAGAATGAAGACCATTTATTTGCTATACAGTATGTCCTGGATGATACCCAGTACTACAATATTCGAATACAGTAGGCCTACTATTATTGATCAGAAGCTGGGTGGCATTATACACGAACTATATGAAAAAAATCGTGTTTTTCACAAAAATTCAAAGGTCGTATTATATATGAAGTCGCCTTATACACGAGTAGATGCGGTAGATATTGATCTTTCTGTTGATGCCTTTGATCATGCCATGTCAAAGAGATAACTAGTAACCACATGCGTGATATCGATTAATTGGAAGATAAAAAAAAAATTGAAAAATTCATTCTCTGTTTCAAATCAAGGCTTACCGACATGGAGAGACCTGGAAAAGCAAAAAAAAAAAAAAAAAAAAAAATTTAATTTAGTGAATAATAAACATATTAACACGTTTGATTTTATCCATAAAATTACTAATCAACTTTAAAATCTCTAAGATTATCGATAATTCTGCAATACAATGAGGGAGACTTGTTGGAGATTTACTCACTCTTTTTTTCCTATCGATAGCCAGGATGACTGGAAATGGGACTGGATTTAGAAATGGTTAGAATCGAAGAATTTCTAAAAGCATGGTCACAATATAGACACCAATGATCGAAGAAACTTCTTTTTAATCAATTCATCCCAAGCAATGCGATAATGACACTAAGACGGAAGGGGCTTCTTGGAATGAAAGTGAATAAAAAAAAAAACCTCTAGAAGAGACCGGAAACCCAATCCTAAACAGGAAACAAGGAATAAACCTCTATACTCCTTCAAAAAACCGGGAGGAACGCTCTGTTGTGCCGATGCTTAATAAATCGTACACTCCAATGACGGATGGGTAGACGGTCATTCGTTTTGCATTTGGTTTATAAACTGAAACTTAACGAACGTCAATACCATTACCTTTACCATTGAGCTAAATCTTCAAGCGCAAATTGATTCTGTATTAAGACTTTCAGTACTAATATCTTCGCCGGGGCAACTCGAGGTGGTGTAATGGTTAGCAAACTTGTCTCGTTAGAACAATTACGAATGAGTAGTGAGTTCGATCCTCACTGGGTACCCCTTACTTTCGGCCTTGTGCCACATCCAAGTTACGCTTGCAAAATCACTGATATCTTCGCTGTCTGTAAACAAAGGTGAGGATAATGAGCTAAATAGCATCGTATCCCTGAATAGCATCGTATCCCTGAAAAGCAGAGCTCAATCATAGCAGTTTGGAGAGAACAAAATGAAGTACGCATTTCAGAAAGAGAGAACTAACTAATGCTTAATGAATAAAGTTAAGTAAAAAAAAAATTAATTAATCTATGCGGTTGCATTCTGAGCAATTAGTTTTAAGTAAGGCTTAAAAAACAGAATTATTTAAAATAATTGAACATTAAAACCAATTCGCTGTTTTATTTATTTTATTATTTTATTTTTTTTAATCATTTCACCCCAAGCAAGGTGATAATACCACTACGACGATTATGAGTTACTGGAAGTGAAAATGAATTAGAAGCCTTTAGAAAAAGGACCGGGAACCCACTCCAAAACAGGAAACAAGGGATATACTTCTAATCCTGTTAAAAAAAAATTAAAATAATGAGGAAGAAATGTGAATCGGGCGATAAGCGAACCTATTTATTTATTTATTACTGCCGTCAATTTTTATTTACATTATTCGAACTGTTATCCTTATCTTCATTGCCATATTCACAACGTTCAGGCCGTTGTACGCTCCGGCCTTTTTCAGATGAGTGGAATTTCGAACCGAGCCCTTTATTTCGTCCACCGGGGTAGATTGTTCTAGTTCCACCGGGGCAGACTGTTCTAGTTCCACGGGCCATGGCCCTTCCTGGTGTCTCCGTTATTTCCCTTTAACTCAACTCTCCAAGTTTTGGTTCACCACTGCTGTAGCCTGGTATTGAACTCACAACTCTTTTGGGTCTAGTCACTGGATCTAACCAACGCCTTTATACACTGGACCATGTGTCGTTGTGAATATGTCAATGAAGATGAGGATAACAGTCCGAATATTGTAAATAATGTAAATAATCGTAATACTTCATCTCAGAGATATAGACAGAGGTTATTTTTTTATGTAAGAGATAACGGAGATGAATTGTAATTGAAAAGAAATAAAATGCTTACTATTGTCACAGTCAGCGATGAACTGACAAGAGGCTTCGCCGTTTGTACAGGTACAAACTGAGCATTTCTCTGGCCACCATGTATCTCCGTCATAATATTGCTTTGCATTGAACACGCAACCAGTTTGTGTTGAGGCGTCTACTTCAATCTCTTTTGTTTTCTTGGACTTGACTTCTTCTTCAACTACCACTTCTTCTACGATGACTAGAAAAAGAATTAAAATAAAAAAAAAAAACATTAAAATCAAGCTGTTTAAAAAGGATTTGGGATTTATAATCTATAGATAATCTATAGATATAATAGATATTTTGTTTTCAGACAAAGAGAAACAACTGCATAAAAAACACCAAGACAAAGAAAAGGATAATAAAAGGTTTAAACGTTAATGACAAGAAAACTGAATACATAGTTGGATCATGTTTTCGCAGCATATCAACATCTACGGGTTATTTAATGCCGAAATCTAAATATTTTGTACGCGATTTTAATTAATTTAATGCCGAAATCTAAATATTTTGTTCGCAATTTTAATTAATTTAATGTCGAAATCTAAATATTTTGTACGCAATTTTAATTAATCTAATGTCGAAATCTAAATATTTTGTACGCAATTTTAATTAATTTAATGCCGAAATCTAAATATTTTGTACGCAATTTTAATTAATTTAATGCCGAAATCTAAATATTTTGTACGCAATTTTAATTAATTTAATGTCGAAATCTAAATAAAAACGTCCCGAAATGGTAATAGTTTTTTCTCATATTCTCTTACATTCAGTAACCCTTTGCGTCTTAGTGGCTTTATTGCTTTACTTTGGGTGAAATTATGTTTAAAAAATGTGCAATCTGTGTGCTTTCTCTTCCCCAAATATTCCCTCTTCGTCTACTATAACTGGCAGCGGTGGATAGGAAGGAGGGTACGCCTACACGCAGAGGCCCCATCACTCACTTTTTTTTTTAACTTTTTTTTTTTTTGTTAATAATGTTTACGGATGTAAAGAATATTTTGATGTTTTTATTTTCTTTTATTTTACATCGTCAGCCAACTTTCCCTCATAAACACTTACTTCTGTACATGCATCCACTCCAGACACTCGATGCGTTCCACATGTGTGCTATAGAATTCTATTCTTTCTCACGACAATATCCGCCACCCAACAGAGAGCTGAGCGAGAAACAGAGAGACAGAGACAGAGAGAGCATAGTATCCACCTCCCAGCAAAGGCAGATTCGACAGAAGGTCGGTTTAATACTCAGACGACCACCATTCTGTCGTGCCTCGATTTCAGACCTTTACAGTCAAAGACCGCCTAGTTACATCCGTAGGGTTAAATTCCCCTCATTAATAAAAAAAAAAAAAAAAAAAATGTTCCGTTTACACAGCTTTTTTTTCCCAAGAACCGCTACTGTGTGGAACAGATTCTCACGTGGCTGCTCCCCCTGAACTCTACAATTTTCACCGATATATATCCTCTATATCCTCATAATAGTCACTTTCTATTTCCCCCTCTTGCTCATATTACTCGCCTCATTCAGTAACCTTCTACCCTGAGTGGCTCTTGCGCCTTCCATAAACCTAATATTAGTATTAAATAGTGGAACCCCAAAGCGAACGTATGGTGAACGTATTTGACCTTGATTTTGCCACAGAAAATCTCCTGATCCTACCCTACACTTCGTACAACGTGGTGAGATGTTAACAGGAAAATTCAAGCGCCACTGTAGTCTTACCGCACAATTCGCTTGTTGGAATTATAATACAGTTATAACCATATCATCAGAGATGTTTCGACTTAAATGCGCACTGCAAATCTGTGCGATTTCTCATCTTCAGCATGGCTACACGTTTCCGAGCAGGCCCATTTGCTCGGCCCATTTGTGTCTTTCAACCAGCATGTGCTTTATACTGCAACTAGTGACCATAGTTACAGTTCAAGTATGTACCTCACAAGAGCCACATACAGTTTTGAATACAGAGTTGTCCTTCTATATTGATGGCAAACGAAAGTTAGTCAATCCTGCTGTCTAACCCAATGCTGGATTTCATATCTTTTGGGTGAAAGTGAATGTAAAGATCTCAACCGAAATTCGAACATGACAAATACATCATATCTATTAGCCACACCGTGAGACCACCCACACCTCTTTTCTATTTTATTTCCATTTCATATATATATATATATATATATATATATATATATATAATGTTCTCTGTTCGTATCTATTTAGCTATTTATCTATCCCATAATCAGTTCATATCTATATATCTCAGTTTGTTCATATCTATTTCTACCTCAGTCTGTTTATATCTATTTACCTATCCATCTCTACTTCAATCTATTCATATCTATCTACGTACACATCTATATCTATCTATTTGTGTGTGTGAATGTCCATTTATCTCTGTTCATGTATATCTCTACCTCAGTTTGTTCATAATCTTTCATACCTCAATCCGTTCATTTCTATATCTCTACCTCAGTCTGTTCATATGTTTTGTCCCTTCTTATCATTTTTCCCTTTCCTTATTCCACTTTGACCCATTTCTCTCTTTCTCTCTCCCTCTTTCTCTCTCTCTCTCTCTTTCTCTCTCCCTCTTTCTCTCTCTCTCTCTTTCTCTCTCCCTCTTTCTCTCTCTCTCTCTCTCTTTCTCTCTCCCTCTTTCTCTCTCTCTCTCTCTCTCTCCCTCTTTCTCTCTCTCTCTCTCTTTCTCTCTCCCTCTTTCTCTCTCTCTCTCTCTTTCTCTCCCTTTGTTTCACTTTCATTTCTTTTCGCCATTTCTTTCACTGCTACCTTACTTATTCATTCTTTCTTTCATAATCTTCTTTTATTATTTTTACCCTTTCTCATTTTATTTTCTTCTCCATTCTTACAGCCCGTTTCGCCAAGTATGCGAATCGTTTGAACTATTTCAGTCCACCCTAACCACATACACCTAATTCGTCCCACTTTCAAATAAAACGTTTTACTAGAAATATTTGCTATCGACAATTTAAAGGCAACAGCTGAACACATTCGAATACATAAACTCTTATCAAGCCCCTTTAGTTATCGACTATCGTAAAAGCCAACACAGATTCATACAGCTGTCGATAAAATCTGTCAAAATATATATTTTATTTCGACATGCTTTTCATTGATTTTTCTTTATTTTTTTCTCTGTGTTTAGAGAGGATTTGTTTCTAATTCACTAAATTTCGAATAAAACATAATTGAATAATGATGATTGTGTAAGAACAGCTATTAAAAATGTGTAATTAGAAAAAAGTCTTAAGACTGAAATGGTTTATTTATAATTGTAGAATATATGGAGATCAACGCACCCATACATTAAAAAAATGTGAAACATGGATAAACCTCCCCCCGCCTCAATAAGACATAGTGTCAAAAGGACGATTTTTTCCCATGACACCGCTTTTTAACTAGCTTCATTCTTCGGCAATGTTTATTGTTTTAAAAAGTGATGGTGAGTATTGGAATAAAATCTAAACACATGATGAAAATGGACTTACACATTATTTTTTCCTGGGAATCTATAACAAAAATATGAAACACTATTTATTTATTTCCTAGGGGAACGCAAATTCGAATCCTGCCAGAGAGTATATATATATATATATATATATATATATATATATATATATATATATATATATATATATATTAATAAATATACATTTTTCCTCACCGACTCATTTTAAATACAAAATTCAAGAAAACAACAATCCCCATATAAAATATGGAGGTCTCATCATTGCGATAACCAGATATATTTAACAAAATTTAAATTATGTAACGGTCAGTCTTAACACAGCACCTGAAGTGCATGAAACTCCGAGTCGTGCTACTAGTAGTAGTGGATACTCGAATTTAAAATAGACGCCCAATTTTTGTTTTCATTTTAAACAGTAAGCATTACATCTATAAGCCTGTGCATTCGAGGAATTTTACTAATAGGAATGTGTTCTCAGCAAAGGTTCGAAGCTGCGTCTCCTTTGTAGGAGAAACCAACGTTTGATCCGATGTGCGTTACCACTCGGCTACAGAGAGTGCCACAGGCAATAACTCTCCTTTGGAAGGAAGCTGGGTTTATTGTCCGGAGCATGAGGCGTCCATAAAAGAGGAAGTGCCGAGAGGACTTGGGTAATTTTCCCCAAATTATTGCCGTTAAATCCACTTTAGACCTCGACCTTATGTCACATTCGTTAGCGACGCGGGCGCTGAAAAATATCCTTATTAAGTCAAAAACTTTCGCCTTTTTCGCTTAAAGAAAATACTTTACACCATCTTATTGATTTATCCGATTTAACAGTATCGCTATTTTTTCTCTTAGAGATAACTTAAATTTATGATTTTTTTTAATTTCTAGATATGAGCGCGAGTAATTGAAATAAGCAGAATGAAAAATTACGTTTAATGGGAGACAACTCTATGTATATTTGCTGAAACAATTACGTCTGATCTAAATCTATTCATGATGATGACTTCGTAACCAAAACTAAACTAGTCCAAGGGAAATAACTCTGTGCATCTTGAACGTTACAGCTTAGTAGAATTAGAGATGACGCTCACAGGATTTATTGAGGGCAAGAGGAGCAGAAGAAAACATCGCATAATCTACATAATGAGTTTGTGTAAATAGACGGAGGTAACAGGGTTTAGGAGAGATAAAAAAAATTACTAAGAGGACAGGAAATTGTGGAGACCCATGATCGCCAATTCGCTACCGATTTTCTGGTACGAAAAAATTCGAGCAGCCCTTTGAATTTTATGTAATCATTTAATTCACATACAATTTCCAGTTAATAATAGTTTAACATAGGTTTCTAACAGTTGGTGATGATGTGGATATTCGAGAGAAGCAAGCATAATTAGTGGGTCAGAGATGTATTATTGAATTGTAATTTCGTGACTTCTGTTTGTCCGTGAAATAGATAAGCCGGAAAATCGGTGGTGTGCACAGACTCATATATATATATATATATATATATATATATATATATAGTCACACACAAATACATATAGTACAAACTATGATTTATGTACACACAATTAATAATACAATTAAAGTCCATACTTTATTCATCCCCCATACACCCCTACACAAACATCTGCATTATTAAATTCCTAAAACGTAGCCAAAAAATCGATTATAGATAGATAGATAGATAGATAGATAGATAGATAGATAGATAGATAGATAGATAGATGTGAAGAAAGCATAAATTCAAGCTTTGTGCAAACCTACTGCTCAGTCTAAAATTGCATAATATAACTTGAAGTACCAAAGGAAATATAAACCAAAATCTCTATATATTTTTTTCTCTTAAAGAAATTAAGATATTTGAAAACATTTAATATCTCCCTACTATTAATTAATGTATTATAAGGCGAGATACAAGCAGCGTATATAACATGAATAAACATCTGACCAGAGAAATATTTTGAGTTATTTTTAAATGGTGAATACTTATATATCAATCACATTTTTGGTACTGTTGATTTTAGCTTTTTTTCCAAATTATTATACATTTTGATCCCTAGATCAACACTAAATATAGAAATTTTGTGATAGGTGGTTGGGATTTTTATGAGGTTTTCGTAGTTGTTAGATCCTGTTCTTTCAATCTAATCTGTTAATGACAAAAACGGTGATGATTAATTTGCTGAAAGATGGACGGATAACGACTTGAATTAAGTTCGAAATTTGCTAATTCAGACCATCTCCTTACTATTTTCTCTTCAAAATTCCTAATGCGGTCACTTTATTTCTATTCACAAACCAAAGGCTCATCACTGATTTTACAGACTCAAATACCTTGATAAATAATATTTTTATTTTTACTGTCTTCGTTGCTACGGTTTTGTATTTCTTTCAAATCTTTAAACGCTGACATATAATCCAAATCTCCATATGTCTTTCTTTATAAAATCTGCAGCGTATGACAGCCCAAAACTAGAATCTATGACGATATAATCATGTCAAAATGTCCACCGTTTAACATGTTCCAAATCTTATTCACCTCCGTTTTCCCGTCTCTCACATTATTATTCTTTTCTTTTTATTCTGTTTGACGTCTCCCATCATGAAAATCTTCGTATCCACTTCCGGTTTTTTACGCCATTTTTCTTTTTTTTTTATTTCAAGAGCTGTTATTTTTAAATGGTGAATACTTATATCAACATCAGCTGTCTTAGATTTT